TTTTAATTGTTTACGTGTTTTGAAGAATTTACCTCTAACAATAGGGTCATTAGGAAATCTCTGAATTAATTTAGTATGCATTTTAAGTTCATTACGTATAATAGCTATAGCGGTCGATGCATATATACCGGTAGACGATGACGCTTCCGTCAACAGGCTACAGCGGTTACATGAACACATTACGTTGTACGACAAAATTTGCAGAAATACGAATACAAATCGTGAAATATACAAATCGTGAAATATACAAATCGTGAAATATACAAATCGTGAAATATACAAATCGTGAAATATACATCTACAGTCATTATTTGTTTCGCTCAATTGTTCAGTTATAAAAAATTAGTATTTAAAAATAAAAAATAAAATCTAACAGCGAAAACTGTTAAAAAACTCAATTATTTGAATCAATACAGTTGCCCATTATATTATATGCGTAAGACGTGTGGTAATTAACACCAGCTTGAGTAATAACCACTTGAAAAAATCTGACACAAAAAATACCATATTTAATTCTGCTAACGACATTTATTAAATGTAAATAAAAAATACTAATGACTACAGAATGGTAATTGTTGAATCACCATTGATCTCAAAAGCCCAATATCAAGAAATTAACTATTACAAAATTATTCAAAATAATGGCCCAATCAGCTACACATATCATGCAGTTAAAGAACTTGAACATCACTGTTATAAAGGATCATGGTTAGAATGACTAAATAAATACAATACAAGACAATACAAGACAATACAATACAATACAATACAATACAATACAATACAATACAAACAAGATATTGAACGAGACCGCCACAAACGATCTAATTACCTAAAAAGTGATAGGTTGTGCAAAAAGTACAATGTACTAGAAGATAAAAAATAATTTTATTACAATCTTTAACGGTTACAACACTGAGCGTGTAAAATGTAACTAGTATAATAATGTGATATTATAAAATAAAAAATGGTAAACAACGTGTTTTCGCTTCTGCCAATAGTACGCCATTGAATATGGTGTCACAGCAACACCCTGTGTCAAAAACAAAGACAGTAAGGTAAGGGACGCTGCCCGGAGACACGGCCCTAAAACACTAGTGAGAACACGAGGCGGGGATTGCGCCGTCTTAACTCCATGTTTTATGAATCCTGACGGAGTAATACTGTGAATTCGAAATGTTTGACAAATTGGTTGTTATGGCTATCTCTTTCTAAACTACCACAGATGTACACGTAAACAGGTCACGTAGAGTTCACATTCAATAAAGGCATCGTACAAATCGCTGAACGGACTCAATTATTGGAGAAAATAAAGACATTCCTTGTCGATTTATACAAAGGGAATTGGGGTTATACCCAATTTTAGGATTGGTCGAAATCTTGACAACACTGATTGTTCAGCTCAGAACTTTTCCTCGGTTGAACTCAAATAACTAATACACATCAACGAGTGACATATCACTAATGTATGAAAGTAGGGCCAATAGTTGTGGGCACACCCATCATTCACCAAAACGGGTTCTCTTTTGTTAAACTCGACCATGTATACAAATCTATACGTATAATATAATATAGAACGTTGATATATTTAATGGGTCTCTGGTCGTTTTCATCAGGGTAACACGGGGGTTAAAATGTGTCAATGTAGAACAGTCTATAGTTACGTAATAGACACAGAAAGACAAAGACAATTTTGTGTGAATGCATTCAGTTTGGGTATGGCGTACACAGTGCTGTTGATCGATAGCTTCAAGGACGTTAAAGCAATATAGGTTTATCTTGTTTGTGAGTAGAATATAGTGCCATGCATATCGTGTGTGTGTAAAAATGCTGTGTGTGTAAAAATCACTAGGTTTTACATTCACTGGTTTATGAATTCTATTACAATAATTTGATGTATTTAAAAATCATGAAACCCAAAAAATGCATCATATGCAGTACCACTAAGCGTGTGGCGAGGTTTTATGTTGCTAGAATCCACCGTGTTTCGCTCACCATGCCTACATTTAATCTTCCCTGGTAGCAATGTTGCCATTTCACACATTGCTCTACTGTCCATTCGCCTACGGCGCAGCACCCTGTTGACGTTTGTATACGTCGTGTTCGTTCATTAATAAATATCATGGACATTTTAATTCAGAAGCGTTGTGGACACTATAAAGTTGTCAATACCCAGCAACGTTAGCATAACTGTGGTTCGTCCGTCTTCTTTGGTAGACAGTTGAAAGAAACAGAACAATAATATGACCTCAGTACTAGGAGAAACCATGGCGCGCCTTCTTCGTATTGAAGTTTGGGTGTGACTTGTTTATGCCTCGGTTGCCATGCCGACATATGCCTTATAAAAGGCCACATTGCTGTGTTGACAACCACTCTCTACTAGAACTGCTTCACGTCTGCAGTGTATTTCGTGCGATCTGTTAATCACCAAAATCATAACACAGGACAATGGCAGGTTGTAGCTGTAACGTACCACTTTGGGTAAGTTGGTGAGATGTGATATTTTCAAATTTCTATGTTAATGGCTGTTTTAACGCGAACAAAGAACGCTTGGGGAATATAGGTGAACTCATTCCCCCGGGTGACAAGTTAATTTGAAATGTAAGTGACGTGGAACCAATCCCAAAATAATGCGAAACTGAATATTTTAAGACGTTTAAATACATCGTTGACATGTCTAGGTTTTATTAATATTACACTTCACTGCCTTCAGTTACAAAATTGTAACATGTCCCTATCTAGTGCAATGGACATTACAAATGATCACTGCAGTAAACATGCATGGCAGCGTACTTTGTAATGGTAATAATGTAATCGATTTCTTTTCATTTTTAGCCCTTCATTTTGGCTCATTTATGGCTGTCAGTATGGTGAGTAACAACCTAAAATCCATTTACCTTGACAACTGTTGTTAGGTGTTCAACACCAACATTTCAACTTAAGGATATTATTCGCAGCGGTGACCACTGCACTGTAATGACAGGCTTTAGCATTATAACATAGCATAGATAGGCCAGGACAGCAAACTATATGCAGTGACGTAATTATAGGTTCTTAACAGTGTTGTTGCCATGAATCGTCAAGTTAGTGGCATACTGATTGAAGTAGGTAAACATCACTGAAATGTGCGCTTTTAACGGAGCTGTTGATGTAAAAACAACGATTGAAATACATTTCGAAATTTTAAATCAACAGGCAGTTCAGCATTTTGATTATTGTTTTTGAGACGTCACGTTTTCTGAAACTGACTGTATTCTACACACGTAGTGTTATCACCCACATGTGACTTACTCTAAGTTTTAATTCTTCTGTGTCTTCATCTACAGGGGATTTCAGGCTGCCCTGGGCGGACAGTGGATAACCCATTCATACGCTTGGATGAATTTCAGCATCGTTGCGTTGGGGTGCTGGACAGTTGGCCAGGAGAAGATGAAGGAAAACTGTTTAATGGTGAGATATTTCAGCTAATCTTGGCTTTTCTGCTTATGTTTAGATGGAAAATACGTACGATAACTGAAAATACCATTCGGAGAGTGTTTATGTTTTGTTAACCATACATTTCTTTTTGTTCATAGCTCGTGATTTCTCTTATCATTGGCTTTATCTTTGACATCGTATTCATCGCAGTCTACAATAACAACAACTACTGGAACTGTGGGAAATCTGGTTATGTTGCCTGTGGTAATTCGCGTAGTGAGTACATCTGGAGTTATGTCATGGCCATAATTAACTGCATCTTGAAGATCGTCACCCTTATCTTCGCTATATGTGAATACAAGAAACGTGGAGGCAAAACACCCAACGTCAAGGCATCCGTATCCGTGTCTTAAGTCTACTGTGAGATCTGTCATTTGAAGAACCACACAATGGTCTCAATTTGGGACTTTTGAGTTACTTAGGACTCAATCAATACAGATTTATGCATAAAGATGTCTACAAAACACAAAAAAAGCAGACAGGTTGAAATCAAATCATTTTTGACATAGCAGATACCAATGTTAGCGTATGCATTTATGTTATATCCGGTATAACCATATTTGAAAAACGGGCGGACTTTAATAAAACCAAATATAGAAACACCACCGAATACCGGCGATGGTATTGTTTCAATTGTATATAGATCCTAGCTAAGAAAATCAACACATAGAATAAATTGAATTCATCGAGGGCTTCGTGTATATAGTTATTTTAATTATTTTTATATAATTCTTATTATAATTTACAAATGATGTTTATTTCGACACTGTAACATTGCAATGTATAATTTATAACAAAATGCTTCATTTCTAGCAACCGTTTTCGCATTGTGTAATTTCGACTTTTATATGAAAATGTCGATGCCATTTCGAAAACAGTTTGTATTGCGCAAGCTTTAACATCATGCTTTGAATTTTGAAAACAAATAACCATGTATAACTTACAATGTTCATGTTGTTATATAAGCCTGGGAAATGTTATTAAATTGTGATGCAACTAAAATAAAAATGTTTTGCACACCACTCACGTCTGTGTTTGTTTTCTAGTTTTTACTTTTATTCAGAATTCGACGGATTTCCGTTATATTTGCTAATTTTTGATATCCCTACTGTATACAAACACTCATTACAGTCGCCAGGTGTCGTCAATACGTTTCATCCGATCGTTGTGTTTATTTCTGTATCTATGGCAACGGGAAGTAAATAGTGACGACTCATCTCATGGAACTGGTTATTCCATAAGCTCTTCTCGTCTCCCACACTGGAAATATGCCAAATTGTCAGGTACCGCTTTGGGTGAGTAAATCGATAAACTAACACAAAGTATGGTGGCATTGGTTCAAAACCATTTAATTTACTAAGTTAAAGCAGACGCCTTTGTTCTTTTACGGAATCGCATCAGAAGAGGTCGCCATTTTGAAATCATTGAAAACCAAACGATTTGATGCGTTATTATGATATGTTACCTTCATTCTCACAATATCGAAATCAATCATTGTAAACAATAACATTATTTGTTACGTCATGAATTATCCTAAATATGACAGAAATACACAGCAACGCCAATGGATTGATGCTCACATTGACGTCATTCTTTGTGTTTTCCCTTTTTTTCCAGCCGTTTATTTTCTGCCACCTCTTTCTCTCAGTATGGTAAGTGAACGTCCAACAAATACTATTAATATATCAAAATCCTAACTTATCTTTCAGCCTTGAGTGTACCTATGAATTGTAGCGTTGCACTAAACTATTCTCTTGGGAATCCTAGTAAAACATTTACAAGTACGCTAGATATTTTTCTTTAAATTGAACTCAAAATACCTAGTTTTCCATCATTTCAAAATCAATTGGGTTTCAACTAAATGCTCTCCAATTATTGCATGCATAGGATATGTGATAGACTACTACTAGTCGCATTCACTGGAAGAATAGTGTGACCTCACGGGTGACCCGACGGTTAATTTGGCGTTTGGATGGTAGACCCAGAACTGTGTAAGCAATACGATGTCAATCTGTAAATTTCACCCAAACTTGGCTTATTAAGTTTTTCTTCTTTTTTGTTATGTTATTTTATCACCACTCGGATCTCAATATTCACCGCATTCATATCATATCCCTGGACCCGTATACATGCATGCATACAGCCTCTTTTTGTTTTTTCAATAAAATAAAATAGTATGTGAGTGTATACCGCGACACTCCGAAAACAAAAACCAACAAGAGACTGTATGCAAGTCCACTCGACCCAGTATATACGGTTTGAGTTCTTTGGTTTGATCATAAACATACACTTGAAGATGTATTACAATAATAAAAGATTAAATTCTCATAATTACCTGGCGTGATTACTCAGTAAGATTTGTTGTCTCATTTATCAAATTATTAAGACCTTAAATCGTTTGAACAAATCATACTAAACATTCATTCATCTTAATTCTCCATTTTTAAAATATTTTTTTATAGTGTATACATAAAAAAATCACCAACCATGATGTCACCGTATTTTAGAAATACATAATAACATGTGTGACACTTCTCAATAATATTAATATGTTTTTTTTAATTTATCCCCAAAATAACTATATTTCTCATGTTTCAAATTTCAAATCGAAATAATACCCAAAGTTATCCAAAACCCGGGCAACGTAGTGCAAGGTCACGTAGAATTTCGGAAACCTGTTGTCTATACGTTGTCATGGTTATAAACTTTCACTGTGGACTCATTGGTAGTCAGTATTATGCATTTCGCCCCACTAAAAATGCGGCCAGTAAAACAGTGGTCAGTAAACAGCGCAATGTTTCGTAGTGACGACGACAGACGTTTATTATGCTTTCTGTATTGAAATGGGGATTATAAATTTGAGTTCATGGCATTCGATGGCTGCACAAAGTTCAATCTCTTGTATTTAGTAGGCTTTGAAAGTACAACGAATGGTGAACCATTAGTGGATACCTTTCTGACTTGGCCCGTTGCTCGTTTACAGGCTTCCCGCATTGCCATGCTGTGACATACAATGGATTCAATGAAAAACGCTTTCTTTCCATCGATTCTTTCAAAAGGTCATGCATTGTCTTTATTGTGCATAGTAAGGATAGAAGTGCATAATGGAACTTTGCAAAGTTTGAACTGCGAGAGTTTATAATTCAGTCGTATTTTGTTCATTGTTCTGGTAAACCTTGAAACGGTGATAACATCAGACGTTTATCACCGGAGCATTTATAAACGTTTACTTTACGAGAGCTAATAAACTTGGATTGTAGTACAACAACACTGTACACTGCCACTGGGTGTGTGATTATGTCATAAACTCAGATTGTGTTAGATTTCCGCATATTTTAGGGAAAAACAGAACAACAACGGGAAGTATCATGAGAAATACTAAATTATAATTAGGCGTAATGATGGGCAATCTGTTGGTACGTATTCGTGTCGTGTCGTGTCGTGTCGCGTGTCGTGTCGTGTCGTGACTCACTGAAGACAGCAGTGGAACGTTTCTGGTGCGCAGAATGTCCAATCTAATATTTTTAGTTAAAGTTTTTTTATGTAATGTCTCAGAGTTACTTTACTTTGTTCGATAAACTTTTTTTACATTTTGTTTACATACCAGTATACAAACATAAC